GTGTGGTTACCCACTATAATGAGACAAACAACAATTTTGACATAAAAATGCTACTCTGATCAAAGGAGAAAACAATTCACTATGATGAAAATGTTTAGATTTGTGACTTGAGTACCTTGATCGCAGGGCCATCCACAGTAAATTTGTGCCTTGTCTCTTACAACATTTCACCATTCCTGTCAGAACTTCTATTATTACAGTGTGAGATATCTAAAAACAAAAGTGACATAAACAAAAAGAAAAAATTGATCTAACTAAAATTGGCTAGATTAAAAAAATATATTTCCCTCATTTGTGCACATGTGTAGACACACCAACATAACAAATTTAGTCTAATGATGTCCTAAAGGATGAAACACATTACACATTACACAAAAACTTTTTACCCTTTGTCATACATTTTTCCAAAATATATATATATATATATATATATATATATATATATATATATATATATATCAGATAGAGTTACAAATAAAGACAACAATACTGAAAATAGAAAGCAAAAAGGCCAGAAAAAGCAAACTTACCTCATCAGTAAAATAAAGTGCTCAAAGCCTAAATTGCCTAGACTGAGCAAAAAAAACACTTACCAATGTTAAATCCTATAAAAGGATGGCTCTAGTTGTGACCCAAGTTTCATGCAACGTGATCTTCAGATGAATTGAATGGGCTGATTTAATGATATGGAATGATATATATATATATATATATATATATATATATATATATATATATATATATATATATATATATATATATATATACCATTGGGAAAGATATGAATCCTCTTCTTCTCCCCCAGCTATGGGTAAATAGCAGGACAGACTGGGTTCTATAGCTTTGAATGGCAACTGGCCAAGACGAAGGAAAACTGAATTCAAAACCTTCGGAGGGTCGTTTGGGGACCTTGTGGCACATGGTGCACCAGGTCTCTCTATTTGGCTCTTCAAAAAGTCTGGTTGGTTCTGCACAAGGCCTTCACCACTATAATCAAATCATTATGTGCAGGTGTATGGCTGTCGGTTTCTAGGAACTGAGTTGCTTGACTCTCATACATTGAAATAAAAAATGATGTGAGAGTCCAGAACAGCACATATACATATATATATATATATATATATATATCATTCCATATTAACCAATAGTCCCATGGTCACCATCTCAGATTTTGATGATATTTTACTATGTCATGCCCTAGTGAAATGGAAAACCTGAAACCTGTTTACAAGGATTAAATAATTCCTGGTCGATCAAAATCTAGAACCACCATAGTAAAATCTGGAATTTTGACATTGTTTAAGTGTGAAAAGCTATGAAGAGAGTTGTATTCATGATTTAAAATTTGCTAAATTATATCTTATTATTTAATCTGTTATCTTTCTCTCATAAAAATTAAAAGATTGATATTTATATCAAACTTCTTAAAATTGCTACATAAACTTTTTGTTGATTAAAGAAAAAAAGAAGAGGCAAAAAATTTCAGAAATACAATATCTGCCCAGAAAGTATTCAGCCATTTTGAAAAACAGTTGTGGTATAACTTGTTACCAATGAGAGAGAACTAGAGATTTTCATGAGAGACTTCATAAAGTCCAACAGTCAGACATAAGCAACTATAAATTAAACAAATGATTGTCTGTTTAGTCTGATTGTATGTTTGAATTAAAAGTGAGTTTGTTCCTTACTATTTCTTATTTTTAATGAATGTTATCTCAAAATTGGTTTCATCCAACAAGTTTCTTAAGGAAATAACTCAACATACAAGTTATTTCATTAGAAGAAAGAAACAAAATGACAGCAGATATATAGTGAATAATTTTGTTTATATATAATTATATTATGAATAAATATAAGCATGGTGAATTATATACATAAAAAAATTTTTTTAGTAAAAACAAAAAAATTAGTAGAGGTTGAGTATCCTTTATCCAAAATTCCAAAATCTGGGAACCTCCAAAATCCAAAAGTTTTTCAGGTGTTGACATGACTTGCCACAAATGGAAAATTTCAGAACAGCAACATGGCTACCCGTAGCATGATTATTGTATTGTAGCATTACAAATAAAATGCTTACTTTTTTTTCAGTTTTCATTAAATTTAACTGTAATCAGAATCCATGTTTTGTTTTTATACAAATACTATACATGTATGTATTGTAACATTATAATCAAAACACAACATCATTTGTAGAGACTGATAGCTTACCAAATTTCCCTTTGAACTCTCACAGTAATGTCATCGATGATGTACACTCTCCCTCCAGTTTCTCACACCTTAATTAGAAGTAGTGTTTGATATTTCATTTATATATTTTTTGTAAGTAGTGATCTTCTTTTTTTGTACATGTACAGAAAACACAAAACATTATTTTTACGTGATATATTAATTTAATCTGTGTGAGCATTTTTGATTAGCGTCATTACCTGTATCTATATGTACATAAAATTTATTAAATTTTGTATAAAACCACTTTCAGCGTATACATTATTTCTATAAAACTAACTTCTGGGTATATGAATGAGCTGTGTTATGAAATGTAAAGGGATGATGTGTTTATGCCTGAGTTCCATACCTAAGCTGTGCCATTTTATAGATGCTATCTACAAATTAAATAGCTTGTATTCAGAAATCTGAAAACTGAAGTACTTCTAGTCCCAAGAATTTTGAATAAATGATTCACAACCAGTACCTAATATCAGTATCATTAATTTTGGCTAATATTTCTTTTATAATAAGAGGTTCCTGTGGAAGGAAGATTTATTCTCCCATTTGTATTTCCCCCCATTATGGGCATTATTATGTCCGTGATAATATAACACCATAGTTTATGGACAGAATAGAATGGCTGAAAAGGAAAAAGAATGGCAAACATGTTTTGTTCTCAGAGAAACTTTTATATCACTAAGACATACACAAAGTTATATATACATATATACATATAAAGAACAATATATCATATATATATGTATACAGCAAAGCAAAGTGTTGGGAGAAACAAAAATGATCTTACATATAATATGAAGATACTCCTGTGTCTGGAGAAGCCATGTTTAGGATTCCAGATTCATCTATGTCCCAGGCAAGGACATATTCCATGAATGGAAAACAGTGAGTCTTGGTTTTTCCCAATTTAAGAACTGTGAGCTGGAGTTTCGTTCTATATCTGGGAAACATATATTCCTAAAGGGAAACCATAGATTTGTAAGCTGCTGGAGGAGGCAGATTTAGTTTAAGCAAAAGAAAGTAACTTCTTGTTGTAGCTGATGGAAACAAACTGAATTTGACTGCAATTGCATCACTGTATGGAGTGACATCATTAAGCTGTCACATGAGCCATGTGACCAATCTCTACCAAAGGAAGATAAGTGTCTTCTGTATCCCTACACTTTTATCTTAATTTCAGTTAATTTTATAATAATAATATTAATAATAATAATAGCTTCTAATCTTTATTGATTGGAGGTGTTAACATATATATGTTTGTTTTGGTGAATTAAGATGAGCTACAGTAAATATCCTGTTCAGTACAATAAATTTGTTTGTCAGTTGCCTGAGCTTAATCAATTAGGTATGTCCACCGGAAGGGCCTGGAGCACTATGCATCTTTGTTCATGAATAGGAACAGTTTGGGAGCATTATGTCCAGCTGTTAAGAGCATTGCTTTTCTTAAGATTGAAGGATGGGGCAATTTGGAGATAAATTTAAGTAGTTAGGAAAACACTTACTCAGAGACTGTAGCCTTCTTCTTTGCCAGTCCGTTTGATGTCTTTGCCAGTCCACCCAATCTTTGCACCCCATCATTGAGTTGATCTCTTTGATCCAAGCCTTGCCTTATCCCATGTTGTGTTTGATTTTGATCATAAGGCTGACAGGGATCAAATCATCAACAAGAATTGTTGTACTGTTTTGGTTCATGCAGATTGAAGTCACAAGTAAAAAAAATATAATTTGAATAAAAGAAAATGTTTTTATATATGTTCTTTGTACAAAGTTTGGTTAATTCTTGATATTAAAAAAATTATTAGTTCTTCATGTTGACCATGTTTGCCGTAGTCTCTGAATATGGAATCCAGTGAAGTCCGTAATCTCATCAATATCAGAGGTTAGCAGTGTAGATTCGGAGAAAGTAGCGGCTGTTAATTCTTTAAGTCTTCGATATCAGGTTGGCAGTGAAGAAAATTTGGGAGAAAAAACAAAATGGCTGCCTTTATACACGTCACATTGAATATTTTGAGCTTTCTGATTGGTTAACCCTTGTATTGGTGAAGTATAAAATGAGTCAGCTCATTTTGACTGGCTCACTAGTACAGGCTACCCAAAAAACTGTAACATTTCATGCAGAAAATATAGCATGACAATTCGGTTGGTTTAACTAAGTCTGAACAAGGCTTCTGCCACAATGCTTATGTCGGAGGTTTTCTTCAGGCATGAAGTCATGTGAGATCAGATGAAGCAGTCGTCTCTCGTCTGGTGTCTGGGATAACTCTCTCTCAGCCGCTTAGATCTTCTGCTTATATGAACCTTTGCCTAAAACCAGCATGACATTTCACATTACAACAAATTAGTTGAGTGGAACCAGGAAATTTTTGCAGAATTATCAAAATAAGTAAAAAAATAAAAAATTTTAAAATGGTACTGAATTATTTAAACAAGTGAAAAAAAAAAATAATAATAATACAATAAATATTAGAAAATTATTCAAATGTTTCTCTTGTGGTCAGCTATATCTAGAGTAGAACATATAAATAAACTTAGCATAATTATAAAAAGAACTGTAGAAAATAGATGTCTTGCTAAAAATGTTGTTTATACAGAAATTGTATAGCAGAACAATTTATATTTCTCTGTCTGTAGAATGGATGTTCAGCTAGTTCAAGCATTTCAAATAATATTACAACTAAATATTCAATATTTCTAAGAAGAATTTAATCACATTTAGATAACACTATTTTATTTTCAAATTACTAATTCTATATCTGCATTTGATTTATTTTTAGGTTTCTTTGCATCTTGGTATTTACTGGGTATTTTTGGAAAGATGGTACCACAAATTTTCAACTCAACAGATGAAGTTGTACTCCATTGAAGATGCCTTAAATTGTAAGAAGTGCTTGATGGACAACATACATTCCTTTCTTTCAATCAGTAAGAATCAGTTTTCATTGGACTTTATTTATAAAGGAATCATCTAAAATGTACTTAAGATAGTGTTTGCTTGATTTTGTTTTTTTCTTGACATTTATTTTACTTTCTAGTTGATGAATACCTTTACATGTCACAAATTAATCTACCAAAAATAATAATTCTGTTTTGCTATTTGATAAATTTTTATAATATCCCAATTTATATATATATATATATATATATATATATATATATCCAGGTAAGATGAGAATGAATAGAGTATAATTCTAATGTTTGTAACATTTAATTTAAAAGATGGCTCAATACAATGTAGAGCAATATTATTTATTTTAGAATATTACATCGAAAACATGTCAAAGTCACTACACAATTTCAGTCATGTTTCGATGCATATTGATGTAATGAATATGCATACACCTGGGTTCCCCCTCACAGAAATATGATTGGCTGGTGTCAGCCATAAATACAGACTGATATGGAGGTCGATGACACCTATTGAGGACGCCTATTGCCTACCACTTCAACGAGGACCAGTCCATTATGGTTACCTGCTAGATTGTCCTACTCAGTTACAGTAGTCAATTTTTTCCTAAGAAAAAATGAGGTGAAGTGGTAATTTGACAAAATGCTAAACAAGTTATATGCTTTGTGAGTTTCCTACATAAAAA